GATCATGCCAGTGCTGCCATCACACCAGCACTATATATAGATACAAGTGTACTTGGAGACTGCAGAGCAAACTGCAGCCCAAGATAAATGTGACATTTTATGGCACTTCCAAGTGCTGCCTTGGAAAGTGTCCTGTGCTGCCTGCCAAGTTGGGAAGGTCACACATGTTCTTTCTTCCTTGAAACTGTCACCTGCTCTTACCTGTGTGCCCAAACCCGCTCCGCTTCGTGTTCACCTGGTAACGTGCCCATCTCAGAGTGCTGCTTCTTTTGTTCCTCTATTGATTGGTAGCCAATCCATACCTAGAGGTCTATAATGTTCCTATGATTTAAACTTTAACAGTTTCATTAACTGTCAAGTACCTTTAGAGCAAAGGAATCCCATATTTTAACTCCCCTCTCCTTGCCGCTGTAAGATTTGTGGAAGGAGACTTCTTTTTCTGAGAAATAAATAAATAAAGCCCCAGCTTTCTGAAAAACCCTGAGGCCTCAAGATCTGACTAGGAAAGAAAGAAAACCATTCCAAGATATTTAATTGTACAGGGGGCTTACAGGATTGATCGAGAGCTTAGCTTTTTACAATAGTCCAGTGAATAAGAAATGCTCCTGACAAACGATCGATGATGGGATAATCACTCTTTATCCCCCCTCCTCATTGTTACCTTCTTTCTTCCAGGAGAACAGGGTTCAGAAGTCAAAAATCTTTATAGACGCTGCTTTTAAATTAAGCAGAAAATAGACATTGACATATTTGTTAATCTCACCTAAATCATTACTGGGCCTGGCTGGTTTGACTGTACACCGTGAGCGTGGCAGAGAGGCCAGAATACATCAGTGTTACTGGCTTAAGTGCACACACTTAAAACAGGGAGGTGTAGGAGCCTGGGAGTTTAACATGGATAAATACATATAATTTTTTATTCTGAAGGTTGTAAGAGTAGCTTCTCTTAATTAAAACCTTCTTACTAGCGCTTGAAAGGTTAGGTAACATTTATATTGGTAGGCACATAAAAACATCCCATCCTTTCAAGGCATCATTGTATGGTTGGCCTGTGGCTTGGAAATGGGGCTGTGTGTTCCAACCTGTCCTCACTCCACTGTGGTACCTTCCCCAGGGTTCTGCCTCAGCTTCCAGCAGTCCCGTGGTTTAGCAGCTTCTGAGAACAGATTAATAGCTGATCTTCGTGCCTCTGATGGACTTTGCTTGCATGAGTTTGCCTGCTGACTTTCTGCGGGCTCATTCATACTTCTGGCACCCAGAATTTAATCTCTCCTTGTTGGGAGGGACTTGGCTTGCTCTGGCAATCTCCTGCTGTGATCCCAGAGCCTGCTGTTGGTCAGGCTGAACGGTGGGTGCGGAGCTGCTGAGGACCCCCGTGACTCTGCTCTGCTCCTGCCTCTGCCCAGCCACAGCCTTCTGCCCAGCAGCGTGGCAGTTTAACAATAGGTGTTGATGTAATGGTAGATGTTGCATTTAATCCCATTGACATTCCTTCCAAAACGATAAAGATTAAAACCAAAAAAAAGCTCAGTGGTGTTCAGCCAGCATGAAATGCAGCCGTGGTGCTCGGGGTACAAGATAACAAGGACAGGAGCCTTGTCCTCCAGCTGAGTCCTGCCACCAGCTTTTGTTCCAGGTTCTCCAGTTGACTTCTTGTACTAGGAGCAGGACAGCTCTTTGTTTGAAACCTCCTCTTTGTTTGCTCTCTGTACACTGAGGACACAGTCGTGCTTCCCTGTCCCTCCCTGTCTGGGCACATGGGTGGTTAGATTAACATTTGAATGGAAGGTGTCTTCTGACAGTCCAATGCTACAACCCACCAGTGCTTGGAGCAAGACTCACCCATGACCCAGCTTCAGATTGCCAACGACCTTGGCTTTAAAAGGGGAGGTGGGATGGGAGGCAGCTGCCTCTGAGGCTGTGAACTTGGAACCAGAGCTGCTGATGTGGGTGGGAGGTTAAAAAACGGCACAATTCAGCAGCGTATCTAGGACCGCGTAACTCGGCTAGCTCAGGTTGCAAGCTTTGCTTAAATTGAACTAAGATTGGCTCTAAGTACTCTGCCTCTGCACAAGGACTTCTTGCCCATGTGTTGGTGAGGGAGTGCAGGAGAAGCACCAGCCTGCTTCTGGGCCAGCCTTGGCCTGGTGTGAGTGACTGCAGGTTCTGCAGAGCTGCACTGTGCTGATGCTCCCTGCCCGTTCCAGGGAGGAGAGGGGAGTGACACGTGTGGGTTGACAAAGGGGCAGCTGTGGGAGCAGCACCTTGTTCTCCTGCAGACACCAGCAGGAGCTGCAGCTGCCTCCAGAGCATGATGCATTCCCTCTTGCCTGGCTTAGTCTGGGTCAGGCAATTCCAAAACGAATCAGAAACTGTTTAACGGGTGGTTTTGTTTTAATCCAAGCTAATTTTGTTCAAGCTGAACACTTTAAAATAAATTAAAAATTATTAACTCCACAGGACATTATCTTCTTGAACAGTTTTATTCTTGTCCATTAAGTTAGTCCGTGATGGAGACCAGAGTGTGCCCACCACTGGTCACTGCATGGGAGCACTTTGGGTGTCTCCAGCATAACTTGTGTTTTCCTTAACGAGGCAGAGGCTCTAACAGCTACCAGCCTGCAGGAAAACTTCAAATTGTGTAGGTGGTTTTACGTTGTCTGTGTTTCTTGCTAAATGAACTACGTGTTGGGACATTATTCTTTTTTAGGAGTAAGTCCAGTAAATGTCACTGTATTGATGGCTCAGCTCGTTGGCATTTAAATGGAATCGAGTTTCCATGGTGAAAACTCCTTCGAAGCTCTTGCCTGCCTATCAGTGGCAGGAAATCTGGGCTGGAACACTTCCCTGTGACTCCAGGCTCTGCTTGGCATTGCTGGGAGCTGATGGTCTGGAGTTAGTCCCAGCCAAAAGCAGCCTGGGGTTCACCTGTCTGCAGGAAGAGAGGAAACTCCATCCTCCCCCTCATCCACCCCGAGCAGCAGTCCTTTGTACACCCTGCCAGAGGTCTCTGACGCGTGGCTGTGCCTGGTTGCAGGTACCCCTGAGCTGAGCCCTGCTGACAGAAAAGAGCTGGAGACCAAGCTGAAGGAGAGGGAGGAGTTCCTCATTCCCATCTACCAGCAGGTGGCCATGCAGTTCGCCGACCTGCACGACACGCCGGGCCGGATGCAGGAGAAGGGGGTCATAACTGTGAGTCTGGGGGAGCTGCCCTGGGGGACCTCATGGGGGGCTTGAACCTGGGCAGTGACAGTCTCCAGTCTGCACATACACCTCTGCCCTGGTGGCTTTTGGTACAGGAGCAAACCCTCCCCACTCGCCAGCTCCTTCCTTGGCCCCAGAACACAAGCACATCGTGTTTTCTGGCAGCCCCTTCACCTGATCCATGCCCATTTGAGACCCCCCATTTTCTGGGCTTCACTGGTAGCTCATTAGTGATTGCATGGCAGTGCCCACAGAGCATGCTGCAGCTGGCAGGAGGGGAAGGCAGGGGAGGGAGGGTGGTGAGCCTGTGCCCGTGGGGGCCCTCGGCGGTGGCAGCTGGCAGGGATGGTGTAGCTGAAGGCCAGCTGCCAGGGCAGGGTTTGAACCCTGGCAGAGGAGATTCTCCTAGTTCCCTCTCCCCATGGATCTGAGTGTCCTGGGCTGTGCTGCTCACCTTTTTGTAGAAGGGAGCAGTCTTCTGAGAGACAAAGGAGGCTGGATGCAGCTTCTGGTGAGCGAATGGTGTGACAGCATGGAAGTCTTCAAAGTACAGACATGGGAATCTTTCCATTTCTCTGTGCAAGTGGTAGAACTGAGAGTGTAAGCCCTTTTTTGTCAAAGGGATTAAGGCACTAATATTTCTCCACATAACTGTTATCCCTCACTCATTTATCCCTCACCACTTATGTCTTGGGCAGGACATTCTAGACTGGAAAACTTCCCGTACCTTCTTCTACTGGAGGCTAAGACGCCTTCTTCTGGAAGATGTGGTAAAAAAGAAGATCCATGATGCCAACCCAGAGCTGACTGATGGGCAGATCCAGGCTATGCTGAGGCGCTGGTTTGTGGAAGTTGAAGGGACAGTGAAGGTAAGTGAGAAAGCAGTTCCCCCAAGGCACTGGTCTGCCTTGGCCTTCAGTTCTCTCCCAGGTGGAGTTTGATCTCTGTTTTTTTAAATGTAACGTCCACAAACATCTTAGGTGATGAAAGAGACCTCTTCCAGGTCACAAATTGTTTTATGAGGACACTGTTTGTAGCAGGCCAGAAAAGCAAACTAGTATTTTTTCCCAAGCACGTGGCACCCCTGTTGGGGGTCTCCACACAGCTCACCAAGGCGCCGCGTGCCGCAGAGCCGGCAGGGCAGCGTGTGGGAAGAGGTTTGCTCAGGGGAGCTGCTCTCTGGCCAAGCTGGCAGCAGGAGCCCCAGGAGTTGGGACACGTGCTCAGTACACCAGCCCTGAGTGTCTCCAGCTCCTTGTTCCTGTGCCCTGCAGAGTGCTTGGGGTGCCAGGGGCTGTGCCAGGGGAGCTGTCCCAGCTGGGCAGGCCTGGGGCATCCTCTGTGATGTGAAAGCAGGACTTGGATTTTATTTGTCATTATTCTTTCTTACTGAATAATATCCTCAGTCCGGCTCTGTGACACTGAGAGGGGTGTGGAGATGCACTGCCTGGATCCAGATGTTTCATCTGGCAGATGTGCAGGCAGCCACCTTGCCTGTCCTGCTTGCAGAGCAGCCCGTGGCCACACCGTCCCCGTGTCCCCCGGGCTGTCCTCACCTTCCATAGCCCAGGAAGTTGGAGATGGTGGGGACAGGTCACAAGTGCCACTGCAGGGACCCAGATCAGCTCTGGTGCCAGGGCTGGGCTGGGGGGTGGCCCCAGCCTCAGCTGGCAGCGTGTGGAGGATTTCTCTTCTCATGGTGCTTGGCCTGGGAAGCTGGCTGTGTCTGCAGAGCAATCTCTGGAGCTGCTCTTGGGTTGTTTTTGTCACAGTCCTCCAATCTGAGTTCTTGATTTTATTTTAATTTTTTTTTTTTTTCATTATTGTATTCTATTTTTAAAGTCACAAACACTCAGGGGTTCCAGAAAAGGGGGAGAAGTGTTCTCTGGAGGGCAGCAGGCTTTCCAAGGTAGTGTCTGAGCGTCTTTAAAAGCGGGCATCTCGTTAGCTAATACATTACACCAATCAAGGAGAGTTATCTTAAGCCACAATTAATCTGCTCCCTGGCATATGTTGATAGGAAAGCATCATGCTGTTTCTTAATTAAAAGCAAACGGATTAAAAATGATTAATAAGAGTATTAAATATTCTCCTAAACTAAAAGCTTTGGGATTCTTGGGTAAATCTAGCTTTACACAGGTCTGCAACCGTAAGGCAGCTTCTTGGGCTTTTTTTTTTCCTCCCCTTCCCTGAAATCTTCCTAAGTGCCCTACTTTGTATGCAGGGAGCATGTCTGGCATGTCTAGGGGCAGAAGCAGGGAGCAAAACCTAACGAGTTTAAAATAATAAGAAGAAAAAAAACAATGAAATAAGCAAAATCTTGAGGTTGAAATGACATCACTGATTTAGGACAATCATATACATTATGTTCAACAAAAAAAAAAAATCCTGGTTCCTTATTACAGTGTGTGGAGGCAGGAGCAGTGCTGGGGGCTGGAACAGGGTTTGCACTTGGGGTTTCCTCACAGCAGTGCTGGCTGCACCCCTGGGGGTATCAGCACCTTAGAATCACAGCACTGTGCTGGCTGGGAGAGACCTTTAAGCTCATCCAGTCCAACCATCCCCCAGCCCTGCCAGGTCCCCACTGCCCCGTGTCCCTCACCCCACATCTCCACAGCTTGGAAACCCCTCCAGGGGTGGGGACTCCACCACTGCCCTGGGCAGCCTGGCACAGCCCTGGGCAACCCTCAAGGGGAAGAAATTGTTCCTCAGGGCCAACCTCAACCTCCCCTGGGGCAACGTGAGGCCGTTTCCTCTTGTCCTGTCCCTTGTGCCTTGGGAGCAGAGCCCGACCCCCCCCTGGCTCCAGGCTCCTGTCAGGAGCTGTGCAGAGCCAGAAGGTCTCCCCTGAGCCTCCTTTGCTCCAGGCTCAGCACCCCCAGCTCCCTCAGCTGCTCCTCACAACACTTTGGCTCTAGACCCTTCCCTAGCTCCGTTGCCCTTCTCTGGACCCACTCCAGCCCCTCAAGGTCCTTCTGGGAGTGAGGGACCCAAAACTGACCCCAGGATTTGAGGTGAGGCCTCCCCAGTGCCCAGTCCAGAGGGGATGATCCCTGCCCTGGTCCTGCTGGCCACACTAGTGCTGGTACAAGCCAGGATGCTGGTGGCCACCTGAGCACACTCTGTCAACATGGGGAAGCTGCACAGCTTCTGAGAGTCCCAGGGAAGAGGGAAACGACTTCTTGGAGTTTGGAAACTGATAGTTAAATAGCTGAATGAGGACAGAGGCTCACGGGAGCGAGCGCTGCCTCAGTGCTCCTCTCTGGGGATGGCAGGGTGGGGAAAAGCTGTTTGGTGAAGGTCTGAGGGGAGAGCTGGGCCCTCAGAGGGCTGGAGGAGCCACGGTGTGCAGCGAAGGAGAGCCCACGTGGGGGAGGTCTGCTGCCTTCACTGCTCCTGCTCCAAGGGTTTGCCCACCCCCCTGCCAGGCTTCACCTTTGGGTGCAAACATCCACCACGAGCTTCCACCTCCTGCTCCCCAGCAGCCCCCGAGATCACCCTGCTCCCAGTCTGGCCCCTGAGGCAGCCCAGGGAGGGGTGGTGGCTGCGGGTGGGACCTGGTGGCCTCTGAAGGTCCCTCCCAGCCCCTCTGGCTCTGGGTGGGGTTCCTGGCTGCTGGGCCCACACCCCCACCAGGATCTCATCCCTTAACACACCGAGCTCATTGTCATTCTGACTTTGACTTCGTTAGTGATAAGGGAGAAGGATAGTGCACCTTTAAATGACGAGCTTTGTGTTTAATTACCCAAATAAAATGACATAAATATGAATGAGTGCTAATGGTGGTACTTGCTTTTCCGGAAACCATTAACAAAACGATTCTTAAATGATTTGTAAAGAAAATGAGAGGAGAAGAGAGGAGGGAGAAGGCTATTAGGCGTCTAGCACACTCCTGAATTATTATGTAGTCAACTACCTAGCAAATATCAGGTGAAATGATCTTGCAAAATTAAGCCCGGGGTTTGCTGCTCAGGCTGTGGGGGGCCGTGGGCACCCCGAGCTCCCTGCGAGCACACACCCTCTGAGGGGCTGGAGCTGCAGCCCTGTGACACCAGCACCCCCTGGGAGGAGCCCCCTCAGCATCATCTGCCACCCCCTCACCTCGGGGCTGGTCCCGTGTCACCAGAAGTTGGGCTTGTGATCACAGAAGGAAGCTGGGATTGTAGCTGGGACTACAAACCCCTGTTCATGGAAGGAGATGCAGGAGGAATATCTTTGGCCTTTTGTTGTGTTTATGAAAGTCACACGTGGTGGGAGAGCCACAGAGGGCTCCCAGCCTGGGGTCTGTAACTGGCAGTTAAATTTTGGGAATGTGTGTGAGGAGCAAGAGCCTGCACAGCCCTGGGGCAGCAGGTGACCCGTGTGGTCTGTTCACAGGCCTACCTGTGGGACAGTAACAAGGACCTGGTGGAGTGGCTGGAGAAGCAGCTGACGGAGGAGGAAGGTGTCCGCTCAGTGGTGGAGGAGAACATCAAATACATCTCGAGGGACTACATCCTGAAACAGATCCGGAG